AATTATGTAAGCATATACATTTTAATTTTGTCAGTTAAAAAATAAAAGTGAAAACTTCAGAGAAAAAAGAGACCTAAGAAAGCCAGGGAGTGCTCAAGTGGCCACATAGAGTTGGGGGTCACAGTTACAGCCTGAAGACCTTTAGCCAGACCTTCTCGGGTTGAACCTGTGCAGAAGCAGGAGGTGGCGCCTGAGCCTAGGGTGGTCTGGGTGCTCTCCACACCTCCACGCTCCACCTTTTTCCAAGCCTCTGAGTCTTCTAGTGTCCATCTCTTTCCCGTATTGTTGGCCTCTCCCTGCGCTTCCTTCATCCTGAGTGCAGATAAAGCCTTTGGCATTAAAACAGGAAAGCAAGACACCCACCCCCTTTAACTATGAGCTCCTTTCTCTCCTTCCCCTGCTTCTGTCCTGTTTTGTGGTGGTGCCATGGCTTGACCCCAGGGCATCAGGCCAGCTAGGCAGACACTGCACACTGAGCTGCAGCCCCAACTCCTGCCGGCAGCAGTCTACATTTTCCCCTCTGTGTCTGTAAACCACTTCTTCTTTTTTTCCTTATTATTTTTAAAAATTTATTTATTTTTGTGGTGCTGGGAATCGAATGCAGAGCCTCACGCATGCGAGGTAAATGCTCTACCACTGCACTGAGCCATGTCCCCAGCCCCTGTAAATTACTGGTGACTTCCCTGCATAACCCCTCTGTTGAAATGGCTCTCTAATAACCCTCATATTTGTCCTGCTCAGGTCTCGCCACGCACTCCTGTGCAAATCTCCATGTGGGGCTTCTGGTCTCCTTCAGTGTCAAGCCGGTTCTTGGTTGCTTGCAGTTGAGCTGATCCTATCTACACAGTGGAAAGAAAGGTCTTCCTAGAAGACTGGCAGACATGGTTGAGCCATCTTCTGCAGTTCCCTGGCCAGCAGAATACTGACCCGGCTTTGATGCAGTGGTCCTTGCCCCTCCCTAGACCTGCACATGTTCGGCCTTCCTAATTGGGTGCAAAGTGATACCTACTAGGAAGAATTTGAGAAAGAAAGAGGAGTCTGCTTGTTGCTTGAGCAGTGTGATGAGGGGTGGTGGAGGAGAGATGACATGCCTATGTGTCAGGTTTTCACTTTCTTCCTTTCTTTTTCTTTTAATATTTTTTAGTTGTCAGTGGACCTTTATTTTATTTTTTGATATGTGGTTCTGAGCATTGAACTCAGTGCTCCACACATGCTAGACGAGCTCTCTGCCACTGAGCCTCAGCCCAGTCCCTTCGTTTTCTTTTTTTATGGTGCTGAGGATAGAACCCAGGCCTCACACGTGAGGCAAAATGCTCTGCCATGGAGCCACATCCCCAGCCCCAGTGGGATGAGTTTTAAGAACGTATATTATTAAACCTAACACATCCGTAGTGTTACTATTTCAGTGTGTAACCAGTATTGTTAATGAGTATTTCCCATTTTTTCATACCCAGTTTAAAAATCTGATGTGTATGGTGCACTGGGTTGGGGCTATGCACTCACTGCTGAGTTGCTTATTCCCAGACAAGTTGTGACATACCAAATATCATTTATCGACATAATTAAATATAATTTATCATCAGTGTTTTGATACTTGTGTCCAGAAAAGCTGTTACCTCTGTGACTGACTCAGACTCATTTGTGGCTCTTAAAATACATGCAGGACCAGAGAGAGACTGGGTGGTGACCAAGAAGGCTGGCCACAGCGAGGCCTGCACCTCAGGTGTGTGTGGCTTGATGCTGCCACTGTTGGGTTGATTCAAGACCCCGGTGCCTCTGTCACTGAGTACTGCTGCTGTACTGAATGTTAAACTGTCCCTGTCCTCTGGAACAGTGGGAACATAATTCATGAGGTTGAAGCAATTTTACATTTTTTGGTAGCTGCATTTAAAGAAAGTAAAAAACAATGACATGGTTTTCATATCAGTTTTTCAAAAGCTGATGTACACTCAGCACGTTTTAGTTGTCCTAGCCACTTTTCAAGTGCCCTCTGTGTTGGCCACTGTAGGTCTAGACTCAGAGCCCTGGGCAGCAGTGTCTGATGAGCTGAGCTCCCCTGGCTTGCTTGGAGTTCTGTGCGGGAGGAGGACTAAGCCCCACACAAGAATTGGAAGAGTTGGGCAGGTGAGGCGCTCACTGTAGCCTATGTCCCTGTCCTATTCCTCATGTGTCTCTGACCAGTTTGTCCCTTCTACTAGCCCTTAAAAAAAGTTGATGTTTCTCTAGGATCCATTTTTGGTCTTCTGGTCTTTTCTCTTGGCCTGTCCGCCTTCTCTCCCTCCCTTTGATTGAACCCAGGGCCACTTACCCACAGAGCCACATCCCCAGCCCTTTTTAATATTTTATTTAGTGTCAGGGTCTCGCTAAGTTGCTCAGGGCCTTGCTGAATTGCTGAGGCTGGCTTTAGACTCGTGATCCTCCTGCCTCAGCCTCCTGAGCCGCTGGGATTACAGGCGTGCACCACTGTGCCTGGCTCTCCTGGCTCTTTCTTTGGGTGATGTTATCTTTTGGTTTCAGCCATCCTTTGTATGCTGATGACTTCTGTATATTTGTATCCCCACCTTTTTTCTAGTTTTATAGTTACATATTCATTTCTTGATGGATATAGTTTCTTATATGTTCCCTGGGCCTCTCCTACTCAGTTTCCCATTTTGAACTTAATCTTTCCTTTACACCTGCTCTTCCTCTTCTTTCCCCTAGTCTTATTTAGTGGGACCATTATATGTTAATTGTTTAAACCCAGTCCAGGGCAAGTTAATCCTGAATTTCCCTTCAAATTTGGCCCTTCTCAGAGCCATGCTCTGTTCCTGGTGTCTTATAGACCTTTGGTAGTAGCCCTTTAACTTGCCCCCTGTCTTCTTACAGTCCTTTTCTCCCCACCCCCAGCTCTTCCAGGCAATATAGCCACCACTCCACTGCTTGAACTTTTTCACTGTCTGTGGAGGGAAGTTCAGGCTGTGTGGTGGTGTCAGGGCCTCCCTGTCTGTCTCTTCAGTCTCCCTGATGCTCCTGACCTCTACTTTGGTCCCATGATCATGGCTTGGTGGCTACCTGTGGAGCGATATTGTCTGTACAGCCATAACTGTTCCCCCGGCCCTCTGCCTCTGTGGATGTGATGTGACTGTTCACTCTCCCCGTTGTGCCCTTTCTTGCAAGCCGTTTATCTGGAATGTTCTCTGAATTAATAACCTCTGGCTGTTTTCCCTGGTCGTGGAGGCTGGACTTCAGACCCAGACTCCGTGTTTCCCAGGGTCCTTGTCTGTGCAGTGTCTGGCTCACTATATATATATATATTTTTTTTTTTTTTTTGAGAGAGAGTGAGAGAGAGAAATAAATATTAAAAAAAATTAAAAATATTTTTTTTAATATTTATTTTTTAGTTCTTGGCGGACACAACATCTTTGTTGGTATGTGGTGCTGAGGATCGATCCCGGGCCGCACGCATGCCAGGCGAGCGCGCTACCGCTTGAGCCACATCCCCAGCCCCTCACTATATTTTTATTGAACTGAATTAAGCAAGTTTGAAGGAAGTCTAGGTGGGAAGATATGTTGGCTGCAGTTGCAGACATCTCTATGAATAATGAGCATTCAAATGCTTGATGGAGAAATGAAAATCAGATTTTATTGTTTTGCAGATACTGTTAGTTTGGGGAGAAAATAACTTCAGGAAACGAATCTTTTCTTGTCATAATCATATCTCTTGTTGTGCATCAACATAACGAATAGCTAGTTTAGCTAGTTTTTAATATTCCGTCGTATTGTGTGCATGCTGGCTGTCTCTGACATCTAGGATCACATCATATATCATCTTTGTCCCTTGTATCTTGGGGTGCTGAGGATCACATGTGTTCTGTGCCTATTTTGCTCCTGCCAAGGCTGATATCAAAGAAGAATTTGCCAATGTTTATTCCTTGAGCAAGGATTGGCAAACTAGCAGTATTGTTTTGTAAATAAAGTTTTATTGGAACACAGCCAAACCATTGATTTACATATTATTTATTCATAGCTCCTTTGTGCTGAAACAGTGTAGTTGAAGAGGCCATGTGGTTTGCAGTCTAAAGTGTTTATTTTGGTTTTGACATAAAAAATTCTGCCAACCTTTGCCTTAAAGCCACTTAATTATGGAAAGAAAAAACCTTACATTAAATCTATCCAAACTGGGCCCTACTCTCTGATTAGGAATTAGAATACAGAAGAAAAAATATAGACCTCCTTGACCTTGTGTTATTTATTTGGTGGGATGGTTTTGTGAAATTTCTTGTTTTTCTTTCATTCTGCTACGTGTGTTATGGAAGAGATTGTCCACATTTCCTACTGTGCCTCAGGTGTGAATATTATATTTTTATTCTAAAAATTTAAAATTAATGTCTTTAGTCACATGGAAAACAGTGGATACCCGAGTTAGGTATGTGAAATGTGTGAAATCTAAAGTGTAGACAAAGTTTGTGTCTATGGCAGACTGCGTAGTGCATAGAGGATTTCCATTAAAACAGTTTGTTTTCAGTGTAAGTGTATTCTTCCCTGTGCCCTCCCGCCCTTTGTCCACCCCTGCCTCTATCCTTCTGTGGGCAGAGTACCTTCTGGTTTGGCAAATTCTTTGTCTCCCCGTTTGTGAAAATAAGTAAGCTACCTTTAAGCATAAAGGTAAAATCTTGGAGGTGTGAACTTAAGGTGCTGTATACTTTATCCAGTGTTGACTGGTAAGGTGTAGGGACGTGCAATGTCACCTGGAAAGCAATGTCAGCAGCAATGTCACCTGGAAAGATGGCACTGAGTCAAGGGATACCAGAGCCCTCCTCAGCTATTGCATAGTGGGGGTTTAGGGACTTGGGTGGTGGCCATGATAGGGAGGGGTACCAGTTGATGATCAGTCTTGCTCTGACATCTTTCTGTAACCTGTACATGATACATATTTACTGTGAATTTTGCTTATGGAAAAATTTTCAATTTTTGCAACAGTTATTTTCTTTTCAGGATATAATTAAATTTATATATTTTAGATTGCCTGCCTGATTCGAGTTCCTTCAGAAGTGGTTAAGCAGAGGGCACAGGTGTCTGCTTCCTCAAGAACATTTCAGATATTCTCTGATATCTTATATGAAGAGGTGAGATGTTTTTAGGTTTTCTTTCTTCTCTTTGCTGACTAGCATTTTATAGTAGTTAATAGGACACTGTGTGGCTCATGACCAGAGCCTAAGAGGAAACCTTGGAGCTGAATTTAATGTTCAATTATAGTAACTTTTAAACTAAGATTATCTTTGCCTTTTCTTTGTTTTTTAATTTCTAGTTTTATTTCTTTTTCAAATTTCTGACCAAACATACAGTGAGTACCATTATATATGTATTCTGTTGTTATCTTCCTATATTTATTTTAGAACCAGACACAGAACAAATGGTAAATATGTAAAGTGAATAACTATATTAAAATATCCCTATAGAATTTGAGGGCCCAAAAAAGAAATATAGTAATGGACCTAGAATAGTGACCAACTTCATGTGTCAAAATATAATTTCTCTTTTTCTGATCAGAGTTAGCTTGAGTCAAAAATTATTTTTTCTAGACATTGACTAGGGAGGGAGCACTTAGTTGTTCTCCTTTATAGTTTTTATAGAAGCTTTCGTTTGTTTTGTTTTTTTGAAGCAGGATCTGATTATGTTGCCTAGTCTGGCCTCAAACTCTTAGGCTCAAGGGATCCTGCCTCAGCCTCCCTAATAGCTGGACTGTAGGCCCATGACATGGCACCTGGTGGTTTTTTTTTTTTTTAAATAGGGGTTATTCTCAGCCTGGGGTGCTGATGCACACCATCAATTCAGGAGGCTGAGGCAGGAGGATCACAAGTTCGAGGCCAATCTTGGCAGCTTACTGAGACTCTGTCTCAAAATAAAAAGGGCTGAGGTGTAGTTGAGTAGTAGAGGGCCTCTGTGTTCAATCCCCAGTAACTAACACCCCCCCCCCCGGTATATTGCCCATGGGTTCAATCCCTAACCCAAAAAAAAAAACAAATCAATCTCAATGAATGTAGGTTTTAAGAAAGTTGTTCTTAATGGTCTGTTGCCCGAGCAAAGAATGAGGAGACATTGAATACCTAATGAACGAGATCTGTCCTATAGGATCCTTATTGGACCATGCATATAAATCATGGTTTGTCTGGAAATATATACCACTACTTTATTGAGCAATTATTAATAAATTTGTGATATTATGAAATATTTTCTTTTTATATGAAAGGATAATTGACATTTATATGCATCTGTTTTGGAAATATATTCAAAGCATCTTTGCTTTTTTCATGAGAAGAAATATTGAATAATAGCAACTAAAACTAAATGAACATGTAGGCAGCCAGTTTGTTTTTAGAGATGCTCACATTTTTTAAGGGAACTCACTTGAGTTTAGAACCTACTTCTTGTAGAACTGAGGTGTGGGTGAATGTTTTAGAACCCATGTTTTAGAGCAGATGAATCTTTTTTTTTCAGAATGTCATTTAGAAATCTTCTTTGCCTTCTGACTTCACAAGTTCTTGTTTTTTTTTTTTTTGTTTGTTTCAGGGCATCCAAGGCTTGTATCGAGGCTATAAAAGCACAGTTTTAAGAGAGGTAACTCATTTAATTTCCCCTACTGAAGTGCAAAAGAGTGATGTGCTCTATTTGGTATGTGTGTGCATGTACGTATTTGTTTGCCCCTCCCCCGTACTAGGCACTGAATCCAGGGGTGCACTACCCCTGAATACATCCCAAGTCCTTTTTATTTTTTATTTTAAGACAGGGTCTTGCTAAGTTGCCAAGAAAGACCTTAAGCTTGCAATCCTCCTGCCTCTGCCTCTCAGGTAGCTGGAATTACAGTAAATTTATGTGTTTTTAACAAGCAGAAATAAATTTGGAGAAACTAGTTTAAAAGACCAAAAAAATGGGCCGGACACAGTGGCACATTCCTGTAATCCCAGTGGTTTGGAGACTAAGGCAGGAGGATTGAAAGTTTAAAGCCAGCCTCAGCAATTTAGCGAGACACTAAGCAAATTAATGAGATCTTATCTCAGAATAAAAAATTAAAAGGGCTGGGGATATGGTTCAGTGTTTAAGCATACCTGGGTTTAATTCCTGGTATCAAATAAATGAATAAAAATAAAGGAAATTATGCTCATTCTTTTTTTAAAAAAATATTTATTTTTTAGAAGTAGTTGGACACAATACCTTTATTTTATTTA